GGGGGGGGGGGGGGGGGGGGGGGGGGGGGGGGGGGGGGGGGGGGGGGGGGGGGAATGGACCACTCGCTACATTGATAGGTTTGAGCAGGGATGTCGGTTACTCATGTTGGTGTCGCCTTGCTTGCGTGCGCTCGGGTTCTCTCGTGGTGTAAACGAAAACCCAACCCCGATGGCAAACACCGGGGGGGTGGGGGGGGGGGGGGGGGGGTTCCATACTGAGACACCCCAACGTCGGTTAATGTTGTGTGTGTGTTATCCTGCCTCGGGTTTGCCTGTTGGGCAGGAAGGTTCTGTTGCTACTGTCCTTGTTGGCGATNTAAACCACTGTCGCGGTGACGGCACTATCCGCCGACGTCCTTAAGGTTGTGCCGAACAAAACACAACACGGGGCTCTTTTTGACATATATCGCAATGTGTTGATAAAAAAGCATAACCCCTTTCTTCTACACCAAGGGTACACAAGAGCCCGTCCTCCAAGACCCGGCCATTGCTGGCCGCTGAAAGACAGACCAAACACCACGAAAGGGACAATACAGTAAGTACAAGACCACCCACCGTGCGAAAGGACTTGTACTTGTAGGAGAGGCGTGCGCGCTTGATATTTTTTGTCTCACATCAAATCAGCGCTCTTTGTGCCGTTTACTCCAACCCGAACGGGGTTCCTCTACCGCAAGCCGCCCCTTACCCACCCCCCTCCAGCGGTGCTGCTTTGCCTCCGATTTCTAACGCGAGACATGATGACGCTCTTCGCCGCCTCCCGTGAGGGCTTTCGAAGTCTGAGGAATGCAAATCAAGGAGTTCAGCAGGATTCTGCTGCGCGACAAAATAAGAAACTTGACATAAGAAGTTGGGCAGCGTACCCTGAGTTTTCAGCACACGTAAGTGACATTGCTAAAGAAAAAAGCAGGGGCTTCACCTGAACGCCGTAATCATCTCCGCGTGTGTCACGTCCGCCGGTAGATCGGTCACCATCAAGAACGGGGTCGGCGTGGACGAAATGAGAGACAGAGAGATGCCAAGAAAATTTTCGTGGCCCGCGTGACGCTTGGCCTTATCCCGGTGGTGGCAGAACGCGGCGTTGCGGTGGCAAAGGATAGTCTGGCGGCGTTGTTGCGGGGCCCCCCGAAACATGACACGCACGAGCGGTAAAGGGGGGGGAGGTGGTTAGTCCTGACGGTACTAGTTATGGTCTTCGGACGAGTGCCAATATATATGGTACTGCACACGAGACATGATGCATGCAAAAGACCGGTATTTTGATGATGCGCCCCGCACTGTTGACCGCGAATTTGCGAAATCGCACTAGCGTGGAAAACGACAAGAGCCCGGATCACAAAGACCCATGAGCAGACAAGCCGTAGACAACAAAGCGCGGAGCCACGTACCCAAAAACAAACAAGAGAGAAACAAAGAGTGAAAGACAGTACGTCAGTATAAACCAACCAAGTACATGACTATACTATAGGACAGAAAGGCGTCCTGCTGTAGGTGAACAACCAAGGCAACGACGACCACCAAGAGGAAGAAGGGGGATAAACACACTGAACTCCAAAAAATCGACGGAGAAGTTGTGATCCTTTTCAAGTGAAGCACTTTGATCTTCACACTCCTCTTCGTTGCAAAACATAATCTTTCTTAACTGTTGGTATTCGACTGTGAAAAAAATAACAAACATGAGGAACAGCTGTTTACTATAGAAAAACCCTCCGAAGGCTACTGCAAAAGAAGAGAGACTCCCACCCTTCAAATAACACCTGCCACGACAACACCACCTGCCTCCAGCAACGCTAAGCCACAACAAACAGCTCACCTCTACGATGCGCTGAAACTCCGTAGGGGAGAGCACGTCCTCCTTCGTACGGTGAGAAAGCCCCGCCCGCTCCATGACCTCCGCCCAGCACTGCACAGGCAGCCCGCCCAGAAACTGGTCTACAGAGGTCACCGTCGAGGTTTGTGGCCGCGGGAACCTGAGTTGGGGGGGGGGGGGGGGGGGGGGGGGGGGGGGG